TACTACTAACTACTAACTAACTAACTAACTAACTAACTAACTAACTAACTAACTACTACTAACTAACTACTAACTAACTAACTAACTAACTAACTAACTAACTACTAACTAACTAACTAACTAACTAACTAACTAACTAACTAACTAACTAACTAACTAACTAACTAACTAACTAACTAACTAACTAACTACTAACTACTAACTAACTAACTAACTAACTAACTAACTAACTAACTAACTAACTAACTAACTAACTACTAACTAACTAACTAACTAACTAACTAACTAACTAACTAACTAACTAACTAACTAACTAACTACTAACTAACTAACTAACTACTAACTAACTACTAACTAACTAACTAACTAACTAACTAACTAACTAACTAACTAACTAACTAACTACTAACTAACTAACTAACTAACTAACTACTAACTACTAACTAACTAACTAACTAACTAACTAACTAACTAACTAACTAACTACTAACTAACTAACTACTAACTAACTAACTAACTAACTAACTAACTAACTAACTAACTAACTAACTACTAACTAACTAACTAACTAACTAACTAACTAACTAACTAACTAACTAACTAACTAACTAACTAACTAACTAACTAACTAACTAACTACTAACTAACTAACTAACTAACTAACTAACTACTAACTAACTAACTAACTAACTAACTAACTAACTACTAACTAACTAACTAACTAACTAACTAACTAACTAACTAACTAACTAACTAACTACTAACTAACTAACTAACTAACTAACTAACTAACTAACTAACTAACTAACTAACTAACTAACTACTAACTAACTAACTAACTAACTAACTACTAACTAACTAACTAACTAACTAACTAACTAACTAACTAACTAACTAACTAACTAACTAACTAACTAACTAACTAACTAACTAACTAACTAACTAACTAACTAACTAACTAACTAACTAACTAACTAACTAACTAACTAACTAACTAACTAACTAACTAACTAACTAACTACTAACTAACTAACTACTAACTAACTAACTAACTAACTAACTAACTAACTAACTAACTAACTAACTAACTAACTAACTAACTAACTAACTAACTAACTAACTACCTACCTAACTAACTAACTAACTAACTAACTAACTAACTAACTAACTACCTAACTAACTAACTAACTAACTAACTAACTAACTCCAAAAAGGCCACCTCTTCTCTTAAAAAATTATTCAGATTCATATAAAACAAATATGTATGTAATTTTACTAGAAGCTTCAAAAAGCTTTTTAAAAGTCGCACAATTTCATTTCAAGTTTAAATGAGCTTTAAAGCAACAAAAAAATCAAAACATCACTTACCTTAAACAAATTTGTCACAATAAACATGTTTCATACATCTAGCAACATGTATAAGCAGCATTTGTAAAAACAACAACAGCAACATAACAATATTCTCTCCCACTTGCACTCTCACTTGCATTGCTTTTTTTCTTCATACAAACAACAACCGGCTTTAAAATTTACATTACTTTTTTGTAGATAACTTTACACACTTTTTTCACTTATTAAATAAACACTTTTCTAAAATATTTTTATATAAATTTGTTAAGCAACATTTAAATTATAATTTAATGCAAAAATATTTTATTTTAGGCTATTAATTAACACATTAGATTAATTATAATACGTAACAAATCACTTTACAGCCGACCACTTTAAAAATTCTTGCAAACTAAAGAAGAATGGCAAATAACTAGAGAAGTAGTAATTGATGTTGTTGTTATTTTTGTTATACTAAAAGTAAATAAAAAGCAACATGTTAATAGTGTTGGGCAAATAAGTAAATGGTACTTTTTGGGTAAATAAGAAAGGCAGAGGCATATTTATTAATAAAATATTATTTTATGCGAAAATAAAGTAAATACATATTTTCATTATAATATTTCGTTAATTTAGAGAAGTTGGTGTCTATTTATTATGGTAAAAAGTTTTTGGAGATTTTCTAAATATTTTTTAATTTTATAGGTAATTTGTTGAATATTTTATGTTTTTAACTTTGACTTAAACCACTTTCAAAATTAATGATTCAATTAAGAGTTTTAATAAAATTAAAAGTGAAATTTTTAACATAATATTGTGGTAACTAAAACCTTTAAAATACAACTCTGTTGTTTAGTAACTAACTTAATAAGGGTTTCAATTAGCTATTTTCCAAAAAGGTTACCAAGCAACTAAAAACTAATACTAACTAAACAACCACCAACTTAACAAATATTTACTACTAACTAGGTATAACATTTGCATTACAAACAATAACAAGTTAAATAATAATAAACAAACTAAATTTCAGACTAAAATCCTCTTTTCATAGAAAACTAACAAGTCATAAATACTTACCAAAAAAAAAATTAAATAGAAAAACCTCATACAAAGTAGATTGGCAGGAAGCAGTATACTATACTGCAAAAAATTATTTCAACAAGATATTTAATTAACACTGAAAATGATTGTAATGACAATTAATGAACTAAATGGGTTTAACTTTGTGTAAATATACATTACGTTGTTGCTGCTGCTGTTGTAATAGAAAACCACAAAATAGGTAAATTGGGGAAAGAAAATAAATACGATTTTATGATTGAAAAAATAAACTAAATACTATTTTTCATTTCACTGCCATTCGAAATGCAAAATATGTTTTGTAGTATATCTAAATAAATGATTCTTTTATTTGATTTTCCTCATATTTTAGTGTTGGCATTGTTCCAGATAAAAAATTAAAATTTTTGTTACTGGGTTTGAGTGGCAGTGGAAAAACCGAAATTGCTCATTATTTGTCGAAAACACAGCGTCTAGACTACGATTCAACAAATGGTGTACATAATTACAATTTTAAGCTAATGGAAGCAATGTGTTCACTAACGGAAGTTGGTGGCAGTGATGATATGCAAAGGATATGGCATCATTATTATGTGGGAGTAAGTAAATAATTTTAACAGAAAATTTGGTATCAAAATTAAAAGTACAGTAATATTTTTCCTCAACAGAGTTTTGTCTAATATATAGTCTAGTCTATAGTATGTCTTATCTAGTCTATAGTAATAGTCTATAGTCTAGTCTATAGTCTAGTCTATAGTCTAGTCTATAGTCCTAGGCTCATAGTCCTAGGTCTATAGTCTAGTCCTATAGTCTAGTCCTATAGTCCTAGTCCTATAGTCTAGTCTTATATTCCTAGTCTATAGTCTAGTCTATAGTCTAGTCTATAGTACCTAGTCTAATAGTCTAGGTCTATAGTCTAGTCTATAAGGCTAGTCTATAGTCTAGGCTAATAGTCTAGTCGATAGTCTAGTCCTATAGTCTAGTCCTATAGTCTAAGTCTATAGTCCTAGTCCTATCTATCTAGTCTATAGTCTAGTCTTAGTCTAGTTATAGTCTAGTCTATGAGTCTAGTCTACGTAGTCTTAGTCTATAGTCTAGTCTAGTCTAGTCTATAGTCTAGTCATAGTCTAGTCTATAGGTCTAGTCTATAGTCTAGTCTATAGTCTAGTCTATAGTCTAGTCTATAGTCTAGTCTATAGTCTTAGTCTATAGTCTAGTCTATAGTCTAGTCTATAGTCTAGTCTATGTCTAGTCTATAGTCTAGTCTATAGTCTAGTCTATAGTCTAGTCTATAGTCTAGTCTATAGTCTAGTCTATAGTCTAGTCTATAGTCTAGTCTATAGTCTAGTCTATAGTCTAGTCATAGTCTAGTCTATAGTCTAGTCTATAGTCTAGTCTATAGTCTAGTCTATAGTCTAGTCTATAGTCTAGTCTATAGTTAGTTATAGTCTAGTCTATAGTCTAGTCTAAGTATAGTCTAGTCTGTAGTCTAGTCTATAGTCTAGTCTATAGTCTAGTCTATAGTCTAGTCTATATTCTAGTCTAAGTATAGTCTAGTCTGTAGTCTAGTCTTTAGTCTAGTCTATAGTCTAGTCTATAGTCAGGTCTATAGTCAAGTCTATAGTCTAGTTTAAGTCTAGTCTATACTTAAGATTTTTGATGGTTCCAATAATTCATGTTAAATGTATTAATATTAATAATTTTATATGATTATTTTAAATCTTATAACTTTTCATAAAAATTCTTTTACAAACCCCCTTTTTTATCACAGACTATGGGCATCATTTATTGTTTCGATATGTCCTCGAAATACGACGATATAAAGAAATCATTTAAACTACTGCAAAATGTATTGAAAAATCCATACATAATGGCTAAACCCATTTTATTGGTGGCCACGAAAGCAGACTTAGCCGATGAAAGTATACAATTGTATGACATTGAAAACACATTCAGCATACAAAAAATGGCTGTATCCTATGGTAGCAGTATAAAAATGTGTTGCTATGACCCTAGAACAGAACAAAAGGATGCAAATATGAACATAAACTTGAAATCAGGAATGCAGTGGTTGGTTTCTTATCTTTTAAATAATTACAATGTACTACATATGCGCTTAAACTGTGATAAAAATATGCAGGTTTGTAAAATCTTAAGAAGAATTTATATTTAAGAATTATTTTTTATTTTTCATTGCAGACTTGGGAACAACAACGCAACAGACTGGTGGCAGAGGGTAAATTAAATTTCAAAAAATATGAACGTTTTCCCAAGTCCTCCAGTCGCCAAAAGTTGTGGCGTTTATCCCGCAAACGCTTAAGACGCAGTCTTATGAGACCACGCACAGCTCCGCCAAAGATTTGTAGCATTTCCACCATACAACAACAATCAACAGTAGTGTTAAAAGATTCTACTTCCTCTAATATAACAAACGATACTTCTAGCAAAGTGCCAAATGGTAAAGTGAAATTCTGCAGTGATGAAGTGGAGCATACAAATGTTTAGGATTTACATTTTTGAAAACATACGGAATTAAAAAAGAGCCATTTATTTATTAATAAAAAGTCATAAAATTTAATAAGAATTTAAGAAATTAATATAATGAAATTTCTATTTTTTAGCAAATATTAAAATCTAATATGGCAATGCCTAACTAATAGGATATCGTATGTTGATAACAGTTAAGCTGTAAATGTATGATGTATGTATGTTTGAGTTAGATTATGTTAACTGTGGTTTGTGTCTTTGATATCAAAGGACATTTTAACATTAGTACAGTTTATGTTATATTACAAGATGCGTTAAAAGGATATGAAATATTTTCTTTAAAGCTTAATTTTTGAAACACTTTAAATGATAAGAGGGATATAATGCAATATTTTGACGTAAGTCGAGTACAATATTTAAAGAGCTTTTTGCGACAACGAATTGTTGCGATGTTGATAACGTTGCGTTGTCAACATTGCATAGTATTGTTGTACGTATTTACATACTTGACAACGGATGTTATTGAAAAATTTGGTGTCAATTTGGTACCAGACGTGTATATTTATTTTTCCCTCTGTGTACATATACAGTGATGGAAAAAATAATAGAAATGACCTTATTTTACGCTAGAAAATAATTTTTCTGAAGAATTATTCGTTAGAATTTTATGTTTTGTATCTTAAATAAAAGGTATTTAACACTACTTTCTTATGATATATAGAGTTTACAGGTTTTTTTGCTGCATCGAATTTTTTTGGTATTTAAAATATTTAGCATTGGAAAAAATAATACAAACGATTCATAGTATTACTGGAGACATAAGCTGAAATTTCTTAAACGACGTTTTTGTACTTATTTAAAAAATTTTAATAGTAATTGATATTCCCAATATCAAAATATACTGTTTCCTCGGTTCTTTATGTTAACGGGTGCTTTTTTCAACGCCTTGTTGACCATATGAGCTCTGACGGCTGAATTGGAGCCACGACTTTAAAATTTTCTTAAATAAAAAGTTAAAACAGTGAAAGAAATTGCTTAACATTTTCAAATTATTTAAAGAATTAGTTCTTGAAAAGATTTCGATCCGAAGAAGTTTTGAATCCGTTTACAGATAATGATAATCCACCGATTTTAGACCCAGATTTTGAGCAATATTTCACATTTTGGCAAATCAACCCGTTCTTGGTGGTTAAAAAGGGGCTTACATATTAAAGTATCTTGATGGAAAGGTAAAATAAGTTGAATTTAAAACTAAAATTTCAAGAAATGTAAAAATTTCGAAAATTAATTTTAAATTTAGGTATAGTACTGTTTGGGAATTAATACTAGTATATAGACCCAATACGATCTATTGCGAAAAATAAAACAGAATGTTTTTAAATGAGGAAAATAAAATTTGTTTATATTTAATTACCTTTTCTAAAATCTAATACGTTTATTTTTTGAAAAAATATTACAAAGAATATCTTTCTGATGTTTTTATATAATAGGGTTATATTTAAAAAAAAAAAAATTTTAAAATAAATACAAAACGCAGTTTAATAAATCTCAGCATGTGTCCCCAGTGTAATACTGTGAATCGTTTCTATTATTTTTTCCAATGCCAATTTTTTTTTAGTTCAATAAAATGCGATGTAGCAAAAAAACTTAAAAATTCCATATATCATAGCAAAGTAGACTTAAATACCATTTATTTAAGATACAAATCATCGAATTCTAACTGGTAGTTTTTGAGAAAATACAGTTTTCATCACAAAATAAAGTCGTTTCTATTATTTTTTCCACCACTGTATGTATTTTAATGAAATTTTTCGTTAGCTCCTATTTCTTTATGAAACACATTTGTATCTCCAAAAATACTTGTGTTAAACAAGTAAAACTTATATGTACATATGTATATTCGCCTTAATAGCATTGAACTGGTGCCAAAAGTGGGTCGATGATGTCGCAGACTTAAAAACCGCAACAAACGGTAATTTTTGGACCCATGTGTAACCTCTTAATTTTTCCAGGCTTTGTTGATCTGTTGATTGTTTCTAGATCTAAATATTTCACGAATGTTTGGACGATATTAGCATTAATAATGTGGATCTAAATATTTCACGAATGTTTGGACGATATTAGCATTAAGAATGTGGATTATTTTCGGATAATTCTCATAGCATGAGCGCGTCACCCCTTGTAAAAGCGGGTAATTTCGGAAACCACATATCTCCTAAACTAAAAAAGGTGCAGCAAAGCCTTAATACTTAAAATCTGAATAAAATCCTGTATGACCAAAATATCCAACTTTGACCGCCTCTAAGCCCGGAAGTTCTTGACCGATAGAGCTGAAAATTTGTGTTGGGTCACTTGACACGAAATTGCCCATATAAGTATTGGATTACAATTTTTTATGTGTTCTATTTTTTAATAACACATTTGCACATGAATGGTATAATAAACAGATGCAAAGAGAGATCCTTATATCCTTAGAATCTACTAAAGAAAAATCTGCTTTTAGAAAATTTCTATACTACTTATTTAGTTTTTCGATTAATAAACTTGTAAGTTAGTTTTAAAAGTGATTTTTATTTCAAGTGAAATACGACTCAATGCCCGGAACAACTTTTCGAAAACTCGAGCACACAAATTCACCAGCACATTCCCATTCTATATTGGCCCGTAACTACACTGTTAACCGGCTCAGTGATTTAATGTGACCCTAAGAAAAAAAAGACAAAAGTGGTAAAATCGCGAGCCGAACATGAACTTCAACAATCCGATTTAATCGTATTTTATATTGCACAAGTTCATAGCATTGAGCTGGTATCGAAAATAATCCGATCTCAAGGCTCTTCCAATACATAAAAGTGGACAATGACGTCACCAACAAAAAGAAACATTCAGAATTTAGAATCAATAAAATCTGACAATCCCCAAACCACAACGAAATTAAAATATTCTGCGTTAGCTCGTCATCTCAAGTTTTCAAGACATTGCTTATTGCACTAAGAATGTGGATTAGGTACTTCCGAATAATTCGCATAATATCCGTCTTTAACGGCACCCAAAAGAAAACGTCTAATGGGACTGAATCTAAGGTTGACAACGGTCTTCACCAAGACAGTGGAACGTATTGTTTAATGACTATTGAGGCATTCTGCTGAAACCAAAGCTGAGTAGCTGATAAGTACAAAAAAGGTAGCCTGTACGTACTAGATAGACCTTAAAAAAACTCGAATTATATTACAGACGATGGTCGAGAAGAATTCCAAATCTTTATATACAAATCAATTATTCAAGAATTCTTGTCAGTAGAATTTTTGGAAATTCATAATTTCTTTCCCTACAGATTTTAAGAATTCCCATACACAAGTCTCTCCAAAAAATATATTGGACCAATCACTCATTATTTTTGAAAAGAAACTTTATGAAATCGAAAATCGCATCTCAGATTCCGAACATATATGTACATATAAATACATATGTATATACACCTACATACATTCATACATACATATGTACATTGTACCTACATATGTATAATGAAATGCATAACTTATAGAAAATCCTATTTGCTTGCTGTATGTCATGCAGATTTAATGCTCGTGTGAATTTCAGCAACAATTTAACACCTGTTCACAGAAAACACATACATGTGCGAGAAACATGTACATATATGTTGCATAAATATATATACACACTCACATAAACATATTTACATATTAAAGTATACCCATCACACATTTAGAATGCAAACTGTTGAAAATCGTCGCAACAGCAATACTTCATAGTTGGAGGAGACCAATGTATAGTTCTCTAGATGATTGTGCTGTTCTGAAGTAAAGTTTGAGAAATCAATTTTTTTCCCAAAAAAAAAAAAAAAAAAAAAAAAAAAAAAACAGAGAGAAGACACTATCAATTATGAATTTGTGTTATATCATCGGAAAGTCCAATCTGTTAACTTTAGAATAACTGTTGAACCTTTGATATAACTTCTTCCTTCTGTATGTTCTACCCAAGTGACTTCAAGAAGTAACTTTTACATGCCTTTTGGAAGACGCTTTTATTAAAAGACTAAAAAAATTTGTAATTTTAGTGCCGTGAAAACTGATAGCATTGTTGCAACTTCTTGACCATTTCCGCTATAGAAAATACTTGCAGGGTATAACCCTCAATCTCCACACTCATACAAATTCAAACATTTAACATGTTCGCAAAAGGGCAATTGTATTTTTTGGTTGGCTGGATCAATTACACAAAACTTTTACGTCTGCGGCTTGCGGATTAATGCCAACTCTTACTTCATTCAATATTGGCATGCATAAAATCAACAATAACTACAACAACCCAAACAGCAACAACATCAATGAAAAGGTCAGTCAAATGGGCAAGACAAAGTTTCCTCGAAAAAAAAAAACAACAATACACCACACTAAATGAAAAGAAAAAGAAATGAAAACAAAGAAACACAATAAAAAAAAAACATTTGAGGTGGAAAAAAAGGGTTCACTAGCTATACCCAACTACTGGACCGAGAATGGTCATAATCTGGTCAAAAACAAGAAAAACATTTTTGTTTCAAATACTTTATTTCAATGTTTAAAACCTTGTTTGTTGTTGCTGCTGCTGCTTGTTGTTAAACGCGAATTGGCACTCAAGATATTTAATGGTTGAGTGGACAAAACAGGCATTGGAACAAATGCCAGGAACAAACCAATCAACCATTCAGCCATGTATTAATTTATATAGAGTTTGGTTTTCCTTCCACAATCGTGTGTTTAAAAACATGTTTTCTTTCGTTGTAAAAATCACACCCCTGATAACGCCCGAGTTAATTTAATGTTCATGTTATAGATGATGATTTTAATCATTTTACACAATTTTTTCTATAAGAAAAAAAAAACATTATTCTTATGGCTGAATTTGTAATGCTTATTTAGTGGTTTAGTGGAAGGGGTTGACGTTTGTGGAAGGGTTGGTTATTTTTATTGTTTGTTTTACAACTATCGAAAATTGTTAACTCACACACACAC